AACTTCCCTGGAATAAAACAGAACAAAAATATTCTTCGTTAATGGAATATGATAAAGTTTGAAACACTTACAAGCCACAAGATAGCGAAATGTTCTGGCCAAAATTAAGGTTAAAAGCTTTTACTTATTTCACTTGTAGCAGTTGCCCTGTTTGTTTGCTTTTTTTCTCTTTATACAGAATTAAAACCGACCTGTGGACTCCATGGCCACAAATCAATGACATAATGAAATTACAAAGTAATAACGCTGCGAATCTTCATAAATTCATGCTTATTAATATTAAGGAAAATTTAAAAAGTAATAAGCTGGTTATTGTAGTCACTTCCTAAGTTTTATTTTGTCTGGTACACATGAGTTGGACTACTTACAGTCACTGCATTTTATAAAATGGTCATCCTTCTGAGAACCGAACAGGCTCATTAAACTGCTTCTTACTGTATATTCGTTTTCGAAAAAAAAAAAAAAAAAAAAAAAAAGGTTGTGCAAATTTCTCAAAGCCCTTTTTGTTAAACTAGGTAAATAGAAAATGATTTTGAATAAAAAGAAAACTGTGGAAATTTTTGCTTACGACTAATAAAAATCCCCATCAAAAGACAAATAATTAACAGCAATAAGTTGAATCTGTTCAGAGAATTTATTATCAGCGTTACATTAAAAATATTAGTAAAAGATATTGATAAAATTATTGGTAAAAACATTGCCAAAATTCAGTATTGTACCAGAATAATTAATATTACTGATTCCAAGGCTTCGAGCAACCAAAATAAAACACTTTTTGTAAAGAAATACAAATAAAATGGATGTAACAGACAAAGAAACATGTTTTATATCACAAGTAAGGCTTTAAAGAAAAAGTAGTATCGATATAACTCTGAAATGAAAAGGCCTTTGTGATAAAAGAGAATAATAATAAAATGAGTTTTCACTAAGTTTTAATTTCCTTCTAAATAACAATGCTTTTTATATAACCTTCTATAACCGTCTTTGAAAAGGCTGGTGTGCATGTGTGTGTGTGTGTGTGAGAAGGTTTTCATGTAAGAAAAGCGTATAAAATGTAGAACAATGAATTGCCGCTAATCATGAGTAATGATAAAAATTTTAAAGCTTACAGTCGCTGGAGTCAAAAGTCAAAAGGGATATACTTGATGAACAGTAGGAATAAGGAAGTAGCAACTTGATCTCCCTGTGATGTATTCATTTGAAGCGACCTATTCTCCATTGACTTTATCGTATTTTGCCTTTTTATGTGATCTGGTGGGCTCGTCTAAGATATGAATATTCGAAATTTTGGTTTCCAAAACGGTGAGAAGACAAGACCTGTATTTAAATTTGTCAGTAGTGTGATTAAGTGGTAAATACGAATGCATAAATCTTTAGCTCTACTTTTAGAAGTGATGAGACCGGCAATAGAAGTGATGACATTCAAGGTTCTAAAATTGATGTTTGCAATCGTGTATCAGCTTTGATGTTACCGTTGCTTGATATGAAACTTATATTGGAAACTTATTAGGAAATATAATTCAAATCCTGAATTTCAAGGTGTGTACATTTGCCGGATTTCTATTTTAATGCTTTATAATCTATGTTCCTTGCGAATTCCCTTCTTTTCAGTTTGAGTCTGGAGTGTCTTGTTGAGGTGTAAATTCTCAGTAATTATATCAATAACCTGCTATATTTCTGTTGTTTTGCATTCAACAGAAAAAAAGATATATTGGTCTTACTTCTTGGTCAATAATCTTGTAGATGACTGTTCTGATTGCATTTGAAGAGGCACCCATTGTCAATTTGAGTTTAGCATTTCATTATAACCTTCTTTGCTGTAGTTAAGATTTGGGAACTTGTAAATGGAAGCTTGTTCGTTATTCCAAGTGAATAATGATTGTCCTTGTACTTTGATTGTTGCGTTCTTGGTGTCATTTCAGTAAATCCGTGAGTGGTAATAGCATAGAACATCATGGTATGACTTATCGATAATAGTTGATTGAACCGATGCAACAACTTCGTTGTCGCAGAGATGTTGGTCGCTTAACTTTTTTTCCGACAGTGGTGTTGTTTTTACTTCATCTGTTCCGTTCCCTGAGAGTTTTAAGCTTTTAGCTACATTTATTTTTAAACCAAAAATGAAGTAGTCGCTCGAGAACGTTTTCTGGCGTCCATAATGTTTTTTTTCTGATTTTGCTCACTACTGAAAGGAAACTGAAATCTATAAAGAATCTTGTCGACTAGTATCTGAAATGTTTGTGCAGCATTGCATCACCCACATCCCATCCTGATGAATTCATAGATACCAAATATAGTAGTTACCGTTGTTTTATAAATATCTTTTTTGCAACAGATATTTGAGAGTATGTCTTTATGAGATCCAACATGGAGTGTATTATAGCACCTTATAATTCGATAGCAAAATCTGGCACATGAGGGCCGGGGTATACAGAGTGGCCCCAAAGATTAACATCATTTTATAGTCTAATAACAGCCAATTCTCGCTCAAAATGTGTAAAACTAAGTTGATTGTGCGGACATATCTTAATGAAAATCTAACAGGAAGATGGATCGGGCCTGCCTGTGATAACAACAATGTGCTGTTGAAATGGCCATCATATTCACCTGACATGACACCTTGTGATTTTTCTATGGGGCTATGTAAGAGGACAGATATATATCCCTCTCTTTCTACAAGCCTAGAGGAAGCAGAAAATCACTGAAGCGCTGGAGAATGTTACACAAGACATGCTACAACGTGTTTAGCTGGACTACTCACTTGACGTGTGTCATGTCATTGGTGGTGTGCATATTGAACAATTAATGAAGCTTTGTGAAATCGGTTATAAAATCTACATCTTTTTGAATATTTGGGTCGAATTTTGATAAATAAATCTTTTACTGTTCAACATGTTTAATTTATTTTGCCTGGAACATGTAGTTACTCAGATATTCACATTTTAAATGATGTCATTTTTCTTGGTGGAGGCACACACTGTATATTTGGGACAGTAGGTGTATTCAGTCTTCAAAAGTTTTCAAACGGGTACCATCTTAGTGATACCTATGACAAGGAGACAACTAAGGATTTTTTGATAATTCTTCTCTCCAGAATCTATCTTGCATATCTATGTCTACCATTCGTCCATGCTTAGAATAGTGATGTCACATATGGCCCGGTGCCTTTGCTATTTACCTTGAGCTCCTTGATAAGATCCAAAGAAAAATCAGCTATATTATTGGTTCTGGTCTGGCGGCTCGGCTGCAGTCACTTTCCCACCACCGTAAGGTTCCCACTCTGTGCCTTTTCTATAATTACTTTCATGGTTATTGTTCGGATGAATTCTTCGCTGCGGTACCTAGACTTTTTTTAAAATTTAAGTACAGTACTAGACTGGTGTCGAGATCTCATCAATTTACTGTTGAGCTGGCTAGATGTAGCCGTAAGTTCTATGCTAACAGTTTCTTTTCTCGCACTTCTCACTTGTGGAACTCCCTTCCGGGTTTATGCTTTCCAGCCAACTTTAATCTGCAAAAATTTAAATGCAATGTCAATTTCTATCTACTGTCCTCCTGATTATTCTTTTCCCTTGCCGCTCATTATTAATGTTTCTGCTCCGAATTCTTCCACATCCAGTAACCACTTGAATCTTAGTGGCTTGCCTGCCTTGCATTAGATGAAATCGATTGAAAAAAAAAGAAGGATTATCCCTATTTGTAGCATGTGACCGAATTCAGTCATTGCTTTTCTCATTTTTTCTGGATGTAATATTTATTTGTTGGTTAGCTCATTGTTCGTATGCGATGCTTTACTGAACATCGTTTATAGTCTTTATTTATATAGAAATATCCGCCTTCTCCTGAAGCAGTGTTTTAGTATTTTTGTCCTCTGTTAGGGCAGTGCTAATACTAGTTGTTTCCTAGATACGGATTCCTCTTATATTGGCCTCTGTCTGGCTGTCGGTGAGGAATCGAGTAATTATACAGACAGATAGGTTATAATTAGCCAAGAATTTAACTCCGTTAAATGTCTAAATTTATGGTAAGAAGCTTTTTTTGGTTTTACTAACAATTAGCAGACTGTAGTTTGTAAAGTCCTAGTACAAACCTTTGTTCTGGATTCTGTGGTGAAACGTTTATCTCGATATTGATTTTGACTAAAAATGTATAACATTAATTACAATCAAGAATGTAGAATCAACGACCTATATGTGTGCGTCTAATCATGACTGGTTAGAACTGAAGTATTCCCTTTTGTTAGTGTTGGTAAAATAACATAGTTGGAAACAATGTTTTTATTCTGCATCGAATCCTTAGTGATACAAACAGATCTTTTATTCGAGTCTTGCTGCGTTTCCTGTATTCTTACTCGTGCTTCTTATCCGTCTGCTAGTGGGCTCTTTGTTAGTCTGCTGTCTATCTCCCAATTATTATAGACATGGAAGATACCTTATTGGTTAACCAGCCTTACTACAATGGTCTTTAATTGCCGAATCTGTTCGATTCTTGGAATTGCGTAAGGAATTCATGTCTCTCTCTTGGAATCCTATTTGGATTCAGTCAGCAATTTAGGCAATTTTTTCCATTTCTCTTTCCTCCGGCATAGGCGCCAGTATTTGGGCTCTTGTTTAGCGGCATATCAACCTTTATGTGTTATTTATCACCGAAATCTTATACACAATTTTTATTTATTATTATTTTTACATAATAATGGTTTTAGTGATACTAGTATTAGTAATTAACTAATTAGCTGAGGGAAAAGAGGTGGATTCAAACTTTTCCTAAGAGTATTTGCATGTAAGTGAATATAACGAACCTCACTGGGGGGCATCTCGAGGCTGGGTAATGGTTAATTGTCTCGCTAGAAGAATTACGAATGAGTGGTGAATTCGATCCTCACTGGGTGCTCCATACTTTCGGCCTTGTGTTACGTCTAATCTACTTGGAAAATCACTATAACGAACCCGACTGGATTTGGAACTCGGCTCCAACACATTACACCATACGCACACCCAAGCTCACAGCACCTGGTATCCCCAAGCTATCATCCATCTAGATACTGACTAAGCTCGACGTTGCTTAACTTTTGTGGTCGTATAGGAACCGGTGTTGCAACGTGATATGGCCATAAGTTAGAATTATTGGAATTGGTAGTTTTTTCACAAATTTTCGTAATGACGGACATAAAAGTGAAACCCAAGATTTGACGTAATAATTGTGAGATAGTTTTGTCGACTAACTGTACATCCATAAACGAGTCCCGTAGCATACACTAGTTGGATTTGTCGGTCCGTTTAATGTTTCGTCTTCAGGCATTGTTTCATGGAGGTTTGTCACTTCGTTATGTATGGCGGTAGGTTTTTTTTCGGTTACCTAGCAGTAACCTGACCTTTGAGATACTGATTTATGTTTTGTGCATTGAAGATCGCTTGCATCGGCAAAAAACAGTTTTCGTATTATTTGAATTATGTGGCAGTAAATTCAGAAGCAGTAAGCTTCCGTTAGGTTTGCGTTAATTTCCATCTTCAGGTATAATTGTCTGAATCAACCGCAAGCAAGGCGATAAAGCTACTAAAATAAAAGAGGTTGCTGAGAATTAAAATAGAATAGAAAAATACTCTTGAATACTAAAGAGACTTGCTGTCACTTGATTTCAGCTGAACATACCAGAAATGAAGACTTAATGACTAGAAAGGGGATAATAGAATTACAGACCTGGAGATCTGAGACTGTTCAACCTTATAACATCTGCAAGAATATCATGGAAGGAGCTGGAGATTTAAGTAAACACAGATGCTTTGTGTTAAGATGCGTACACATCAAAAAATACTGTAATAGTCATAACTGTCTCTAGATCAGTTGTATTGTTCTGTATAGTTTAGTAGTTTGGTACAGGGTCAAGTGAATAGGAAATAGAGAAAGCAAGAGCAACCTTCCATGTGGGGAAAGCATGTGCGCTTTGAAAGTCAGCATCCCAAATTCTGACTTTTATTTGGGCAACTAACTCAACTACTAATTCAATACTAACATGTCATTGTTATATATTTTTAAATTTAAGAATATATCCATTACTGAGGAGAATGGACAACACAGAAGAAGATTCAAAGATACAGCAGATGATGATTCCTCTTTGCTCACTTTAATGCCGCGTTTGATGACGGCTCCTGTTATATTGAAAGAAAGGAAAAGTTTTTGCCTATGGTTCATAAAAAAAAAAAAAAAAAAAAAACTTCTTTATCCGTATGTCACTATTGTATAGATGGTGACGAATTTCTTTTAATCTATCAGGAGATGTTTTGTGTTCATTGTCTTGGTCACCACTTTTAGAAGTATAATTAACATTCAGATTATTCAGCGCCTTCGAACAGCAAAAAGAAAAATAATTTCATAAAACAACTAACATAGAATAGACAAGGAAACAAATTCTATTTCACAAGTAGCGCATACAAAAGGTAGAAACAATTTCGTTATACTTCTGAAATTAAAATCTCTTTGTGGCTAAAAGAGAATAATGATAAAATTTTAAGTTCCATCCAAATAAATGTTTTGCTTTTGTTTTATAATTATAATTATCACTGAAAAGTTTTCATAGATGAAAAAGTTTTAAGGAGTAGAACAAACAACTGCCGCTAATTGCGAATGAGAACGACAAATTTTCAATTTATCTATCTGCTCAATGGGAGTAGTTTAAAAACCAACATTTTCTTTGACTTTTTTCTTTTCTTACCAAGTGAGCAAATAATTTGCATTTCATTCGAGTCATTTTGATTTATAATAGCCATAATATTAATAATAATACATTACATTTACACTGTAATGTAATTCTTACAGTGCTCTGTTTAAACACGGAAAATATTCTTTCGGGAAAGATAAATTTGGTTTGGTTTAAACATTTTATAAGACTTAATTCACAAGCTAGCACAGTACTTTTCACAATCCATTTAAAGTATTTTTTAATCATTTCACCCCAAGCAAGGCAATAAAGCCACTAAGCCGCAGTGTTAGAGAATATGAGATAAAATATTAAGGAGATAGAACAAGAATTAAGAAGACAGTGGATAACGATTGACATTGCAATTAAACTTTTGAAGATCAAAGTTGGCAAGCAAGGGACCAGAAGAGAGTTCCACAAGCGAGAAGTGCGATGTTAACATAGAACTTACGGTTACATCTAGCAACTTCAGCTGTAAAATGGTGAAACCTAATTGCCAATCTAGTACTGCGCTTACATTCATAAAGTCTAGGTACCATAGAGGAAAGTGATATTTATTCTGTAAAATACAAAATGAGGCACATGGTCAAAAGCAGGGGTGATGAGGGAGGCTGGTCGTCTTCTGTCTTATAATTAAACTTAGCTAACCACAATTATTGACCCACCACAGTATTCCCTATACAAAAACTACACATTCTTACTACAGCCACCATATTACCTCAGAGTCTCTATGAAGTCCTAACTAGTTCCCAAATGTACTTTTTTGTGTGGTGTGTGGAGAATACAATTAACAACTTTTTAAAAAGGAAACACCAATGTACCGTATCGAAAAGTTCATCATAAAAATTACCATAAAATATTTATAGAAAAGGTACAGGGAAGCTAAATTATGGCGGTGGGAAAGTGACTAAATTCGAGATGCCAGGTTAGGACCAGTACAATTGCAAATCCTTTTTTAGATTTTATCAAGAATCTCGAAATATATAGCAGGAGCACCAGACCAGATATGGTAACACTATTCAAAGCAAGGGCGAATAATAGACTTATAAATATGTAAGAAAAATTGCCTAGCAAGACACAGGGAACCAACTTTCCTAACAGCAGAACTAGCAATTGATTCAATATAAACTTTCAGTTGTTTTCTGATGATCACTTAGTCTCGTCCATATATCGTTTTGTTCCCAAACACAAACTAAGTAGAGACTGAGTGAAAAAAAATCACCTTTATATTTGCCATGATATGCTCACTGTAGTGTAAACATATATTTTTTCGAAATGATATAGTTGAAAAAAAAAAAAAGAAAGACATCAAACAGAATTAACATGGCATAAATAAATGATAAAAAGTAAAACAAAATGTTTACTATTTTTGTGATTTAAATTATATTTATAAAAATATTCGCAGACAAAATGTATGCGCTAAACTCTTCAAGTTTCCGAGAAAAAATATTTTTAAAATCAAGTACGTAGTATGTAGCAGACTTCTTCCTTTGGACGTCAGCGCTGACGGGAAAATAAACAGCGGAAAATGTCTCTGACCTTTGAAAATATCACAACATAGATTAATCGGCAAAATCCCGCACCTGAATTTTATTATTTTATTTTGGTTATCTTCCCTAATAATGTTAAACAAATATTTTAATATAAGTGAAATATGCACACCTTTGCTAGCAGCGTTTAAGAGATGACACTCTGACGTATTTGGTAGAGTCAACAGTTGTTTAAGTAGAGCAGTTTCTAGCCTGAGACTATTACTTGCAAAAGCTTGGCATTTATCTCTCTTACAAGTTATAACCATGCATAGAAACCTGATTTTTTTTACAGTAAGTTTCAGCCTGTACAAGACCCGGGGGTCTTACATGATGCTAGGTACCTCTACTCTGACTTTTGGCACATCAGTATATTAATTATTTTTTCCAGCTATCATCTGGAAAACTAGTTTTGGGGTTTTTCTTTTAGGCAATTCACCACAAGCAAAGCGGGAGTGCCGCTAGCACGCAAGGGGTTACAGAGGATTGAGAACAAGGGTAAAGAGACATCTTTTGGGAAAGGATACAGAGAAGGTACGAGGAACAAGCCCAGGGTGTCAGACGTCAATTGACTTTATCCTTGTATATTTGAAGATTATAGTCATCGGAGACGCAAGAAAGGGGAAGGGAGTTCCACAGATGGGAAGTGCGGGAGAAGAAGCTGTTTGAAAAGAAGAGAGGGTTACATTTAACCGTTTTGACAATGAAAAGGTGGGACCGAGATGCCAGCCTGGTAGATCGCTTAAATTTGGAGCCAGCGAAAGTAGCTCGTCGGAACAGTTGCCATGAAAATATTTGTAGAAGAGACGTCTGTGGGATAGTGATTGCAGACTAGATGCCAGATCAGGACCTATCATCTTGCATATTCGTCTCTGGATTTTTTCAAGAAACTCGAGACGTACAGCAGGAGCACCAGACCATATATGACAGCAATATTCCATGCAAGGACAGATGGTTGGTCTATAGATTTGAAGGATGGACTCAGACGAGAAAAAAACTTTCTGGCATGACACAGAGAACCAACTTTCCTTGCGGTAGATGAAGCAATTGATTCAATGTATTTATTCCACCTCATGTCAGGGGACAGCGTGAGACCAAGCAGATGTAATGAGGCACTCTCGAGGAGTTGGGAATCAGCCATTCTGATGAGAGGCAGGAAGGGTTCTCTGTGGTGGGTAAAGGAGAGCATTTGGAACAAAAATGCTAATGAGTTGATACAATTTTAAAACATAAATAAATAGAAAGTGTGTATAGATAGGAAATTATTATTTTTGAATTTTTTTTTACAATAAGGTTCACCCTGTATAAGGTTGGGGGGGCACTAGGTAGATGATATGGATAGAAGGTGAAGATAACGGTTAACTCTAGACTTGAACAGTTTAAGATCATCAAGATAATCAGTGATCATCCTCTTTCTGTTCTGCAGAGCAGTGGTTCACGGGAAAATGTTTTCATGGAGGGAATGTGGGTGATTTCATACTAAGTGGCATGGCCGTGAATGTTAGATCTTTCAGAACCAAGGAATGTAGTTCGTTCGAGCACTTTCTATGATTTATCTCATTACATTTTAAAACGGCTTTATCAAATCTATTACGACATTTACTAAATTAAGTCATTCGTCTTTTATTAATAATCTGTTTCTCATCAAAGCGCGAAGTTTTAGTTTGAAAGGTTTTCAGTTACATTCGTAGGTTTTCTTTTTATTTGCAAATGACTGACTTCCAGGTTTTTATGCCATCATTAACTAAAAAAACTCTTTTTTTTCGAGAAAGGCTGCGTTTTTATCGTCTAATAAAGCATGGCTGAAGTAAAATTCAATACACGAAATTTTTCCATTCAAACTTTTTACAGATTTCCTTACGTAATGCATAAGTAATTGCAATTTTTCC